CAAACATGGGGTGCTTGCTTAAGACCAAGCATATAGAGAAAGATAATTTAATATAAAAGAAAAGGAAAGTGAATTAACACTCATCATGAATATCAATTTAATACATAAACTTGAAAAGGAATGTAAATTAACACCCATCATGAATGTCAATTTAATACATAGGCTCTAAGAAAGGAATATGAATTAACATCCATAATGAATGCCAACTTAATACATGGGCTAAATGAAACAAAAAATAAGGAAATAATTAATTTATTGAATTTGTCAAATACACTACAAAAAATCACTCATTATTGAGGGATTTTTTTTGGGATTTCTAGCTGTCAATTTTTCGTGGTTTTTCGACGGAATACAATGAGACAGCTTTTTCGGTGAATTTTACGACCTCAATAAATATGTCGGTATTTTTTGGTGGATTTTAAATAATTTCTGAAAAAATAATATATTAGTAATTTAATTAATCAATAATTTTTTAATTTATTTTAATTAATTGTTAATTTAATAAAGTATTCTAAATAATTGTATCCGCTCATAAAAACTATTATCGAGAGGATCGAGTCCTCACTGCGCTTACAGAATGTTTTGACTTTTGACTAAAAAAGCTTTGGTAAGCTGAACGTATAGCTGATAGGGTAGACTAAGGCTTTTTTGGGACAAATTTTTAACTGTTTTTAAAAGTAACATTTTAATGCAAATTTTTATATTAAAAAGATTATTTTAAGAAATAATAAGAAAATTATCGCAAATAATTTGAAACAGCATTTTTATTATTTTTTAAAGCAATTTTTTTTTTTGGACATTTAGGCCAACAAAGACTAAGGCTTTATTTGATATGGCTTTCTTATTGCTTCTTAAAGCATCAATAAAAAAGCCGTCCAAAATGAAACTTAAATATAATTAATGTTTCATTTGACATAATTTTGTTATTGCTTTCTACTACATTTTTTCAGCATAAAAAAATCCTTAAAAAAGCAAAAATAAAATTGCTAAAAATTGTCTCGAACGAAATCTAAATCTTTCATTTCAACACCAATATGTCCAACTTGATGACAAAGAAATGTCAAATAACAAACTTTGCTTTCTAATCAACTTTATTCATGCTTTATACCCTAAACAGCAGAAGAAAATTTTACAATGAGGAAACAAACCAGCTTATCTCAATTTTACAAGAAATAATATTTTTATAATATACATATTTTCAGAAGAAAAAATGATTAAAATAGTCCGCTAACTCTTTATAAAAGATAGAAAATAACCTCAACTATATTAAATAATATCCAAAAGATTGTTAGTACTAACCGCAATCCTTCAAAAGACAATAATATTACTGATCCAACATAAATCTAACACACCTTAGAATTCAGATGTGGCTAACACAAACAAAAATTGGTCGTCTTTCCCTTTAAGAAAGCAGACAAAATCACCATTACGGTTTAATTAGCCTGACTTTGGCTCTATCAATGGTTCCATGTAGACAGATTACAAATGAGGTAGAAGGGAACATAATATCTCTTTCTTTTTATGGAACTTCGCCAGTGTTTTAGAGTGAGCCTGAGCTTTCTTTTCAATCTCTTTGTTTTTGGCTTCCAAAACAGCTTTCTTGTCCTCGATCTGCTTCAGGATTTTCATGGCGCTGTTTGAAATAACCCCTTGAAATTCAGGAACTACAGGAAATTTTATCTCGGGCTCACTGGAGAAAAGAAAAAAGAAAATTAAATGCACCTGTAAAACAAATACTGGTTGGGGAAAAAGTGTGTGAATTATTCTATGTGGCGCCGAACACCGTCCGGAGATCAATCAGAATGCACCACATCACCCCCTGCTCGGTACCGCGGCTCAGTACTGCTGACATGACCTGTTCTAGTTGGTCTCCGAACGGTGAACAACGTTCGGCGTCTGCACAGAATAATCTCTCAAGCATGTGAATTACACACAATGCAGCATCACAACATGAAAGATGATGCTTCATGATGGATAGAGGCCATGCAGATTTCGGGGTCATGCAGGTGAGAGATTATTCTACGCTGACACTTGACGGAGAAAACCGTCCAATTTTTCTCTCTGTCAACAGTAAAAGCGCAGTTACTATAGCAGCTGTGCCTTGACTATGCTTATACTGTAGACAGAGAAAAAACTAGACGGTTTTCTCCGTCCGGTGTCCGCATACAATAAAAAGTCCCCTTCTAAACCTATAATGTCTTTATATATAATGGATATATATATATATATATATATATATATAT